AAATTCCTGCTTCATGGTGCATGAAGGCTTGCTTTGAATTTATTTATTTTTTATCTAAAATTCTCATTTAAATTTAGAGCTCCACATTTTGTCTAAAATGTACAGGGTACACTCTGGACAGGTCACCAGTTTATCACAGGGCTTCACAATTACTAAGAAATTAAAAAGTGTGCTGTTAGCTTGCAGTCATAAGTTCTTCTTTGCATTTTACCATTAAACGTATTCGAGTCTAAAACATGTAGCTGTAATGTAGCTTTATAAACTGCATTGCTGATTACTGGAAATTAGGTTAAGACAGACATTCCAAAGGGAAAAGAGCATGGTCTATTATTTCACTATCAATAAGTATTATTCTTAGAGCTTCTACAAAGGAAACCGTGGCACAAACTAGGTACTTCTGGGAATTGGACCTTTATAGGAACCTGGAACCAATCCCAGCTGACACTGGGCAGAAGGCAAGGTACATCCTGGACAGGTCGCCAGTCTATCACAAAGCTGACAGAGACAGACAACCACACACACACCACACTCACTCTGATGGGCAGTTTAGAGCTGCCAATCAACCTAAGCTGCATGTTTTTGGACTGTGGGAGACCAGAGTACTGGGAGACAGCCCACAAAGGCACAGGGAGAACATGCAAACAGAAAGGCACTGTGTTGGCTGGGGGCTCAAACCTGGAACCTTCTTGCTGTGAGGTGACAGCATTTACCATTGCCCCACCACCCCTACAAAGATACCATCCATCTATTATCTATACCGCTTATTCCTGAATAGGGTCGTGGGGAGCTGGAGACTATCCCAGATGACGATGGGCGAGAGGCGGGGTACACCCTGGACAGGTCACCAGTGCTATCACAGGGCTGACATGTAGACAACCAACCACACACACACACACACACACACTACACAAACATACCACTAATATGCAAATGTAATTAATTACTGTCAGCTTTATCTCTTGACAACCTATGATTAAGTTTTAGGACTACGATGGGAGCAAATATCTAAGGCTGCTCATACAGGAAACCAACATCACAAAAGAAACAACTACCACCACCTAATAAAACCAGTAATATTGAATCACTTTTTACAAACTTTACCCCCGAACTCAATTTCTTGATAGGATATGAAAATTTTGCACAGAGTTGTAATGATACAAACTTGATAGCAGCTGTTAGCTGGGCCACATCTCTCTAAATGACAGATTATTTCTCATAACATGCAAAGAGAAAGAGAAATATATAGTGAGCAATTTTTACTGACTTTTACTGAGTTTTTCTCCAAATCTACAAAGGACTAAACATGAATTATACATTACTGAATAAATCAATAAAATAAGTGCTGAACTAAATATGGAAATAATGTATGTAAAGATTTAATCATTAAATAAATTATTAAAGCTCAAGTGACTACATACATATAAAAATTAATGCATATTTAAATGACTATGTGAATAGATTTAGTAAAACACCAAAGTTTTTTAATTTATGTCTACATTTCTACAAGTCAAAATTTATATTTGTGTTATTATATGCTTCTGTCGGTTAATTACATACAGTAGATGACCTTACTGTAAAGCGGGACAGGGGGCAAAAGTTAAAGATCTTGCAGCAGGCTGACATAAGTAGAATGTGCAGTTGTCTTTTTTGATTTTTACACTACTAGCAAAAGTAAAGTAATAGATGGAATCAATCATTAACACTGATTTGTATTCTACTGTATTAATTTCAGCTTGAATGCATTTATTTATTAAACTGCCCAAGGTATGCTCATTTTACTTGTTTCCAGCCATTTAATGTTTTATCTTGGGTACCTCTAGATTAGCTTGGCACCCATCACAAGTCCAAATAGTTTGTAATTATTTCAGAATGATAAAACCAGAGAGCCTCTTCCTATAAATGAGAGGATAGTTTGTGAACGCACACACCTCCTGCTACCATTGTGATGTTGCAAGTAGACAGCACATTTAACCACAATGCAATAATTAAATTAAATTTCTCCTTCATAAATAGGTAAACAGTGGTATATGTACTGATTAAAAGAGATTTGTAACACTCTAAACAAAGCATGTAATTGAGAGACCCCATATTTTAACTGGCATAATGCAGACATAGTAACTTCTTCAGCCTTACAACAATTCTCTCTAACTGAAAAAATCAACTGGACTAGATTTCTAGAAATCTAGATAACTAGAGGGATGACTGAGAATCTGCACAGACAGTTCTCTCTAACGTTATAGAAACAACGCATTAAAAACATGCAAAGTGTGTTTTTTAAACTTATCGACAGTAACATCATGGATTGTTAGAATTTCCTCACCAACCAGCAACAACACATCACATGCAGCAGACACACTAGCCTCAAGCAGTCAAAACAAACAGGGACTATGCTCTGGGGGAATCCAGTGTTGATGAGTTGATAATTCACCACTTGGCGGGGGGGTGGGGACCAGCTGCTTGTAGGTTAGACCTTGTCAGGTAAAACAGCGGGTCCCTGTACAGAATCATTCCCAGACATGGGCCCTTGATTCCCCCCCCCCACATCCTCTGGTCACAGTGCAGGCAGCAGGAGGTAAAATATATAAACAAAACTGCACACAATTGAAAAATTTTATTGAAAATATGCATAAGAAACAAGGCAATATAATATTTTGCCAATATGGTGGGCTCTTTAAAGAGCCCATAGCATGCTTTTCTGTGTTTTCTGACTTATCTACAATGTTACAACGATGAATTATCATCTTAAATGTCACTGGAAGCTAAAAAAAAAACAAACAAAAAAAACAAGATGTACCTATGTTGTTGTACTTCTATGCAGAAACAAACTTGGTTAATACCAGTTTTGCAAACTCTTGCTGGCAAGACTGCTGGGAAATTCACAAGCTAGCAGCTAGCAGTACGTAAAGTACCTCAAATTAAGGGTTGCAACCGTTATGAAATTTTCACAATATGATTTTTTCCCCCAGATATGTCTTACACAATAATTTATGGATTTCCTTGAATGGTCATATACTCCAGGCAGTGTACCTTCATGCGAGCTTGTCTGAGATCCACCAGAGCCATATTAAAAGTGGAATTGTTCAACTACACACAGTTTTGTGGGATATAATTTACCTCCTGTTGCCTGCACTGTCACCAGAGGATGTGGAAACAAAACAGGGCCTGAGGTTACTGCATGTCTGAATGTTCATATACAGAGGCCTGCTATTTTACCTGACCAGGTCTAATGTGATGTGAATGGAGCAACTGGAAACCTACAAACAGCCATCCAGTGAAGCACCCTGAGGCAGTGAACGATCAGATGATTTTGATGGGTTGAGGCCAGCATGTATACCACATGTGATGTGTTGCAGGTTGGTGAGAAAGTTCTAACAATCCATGATGTTATTCTCAGTGCAACACTACCTGTTCAGCTGCAACGCGAGGGATTTGTGAGGGAAGATGCAGCGATCACCTTGGACCTTGGAGCTACTTCAAAGGGAATGGTGTTTCCACTAATTGGTGGGATGTAACGGTAAATAAAAAAACAAAAAAAAAAACATGTCAACTGCCTGGTAATGTGTTGTTTTTGTAGAGAGAATTGTTGTAAGGCTGGAGAAGTTACTATGTATGCATTATGCCAGTTAAAATATGGGGTTTCATAAATACCTGCTTTGTTTAGAGTGTAACAAATCTCTTTTCATCGGTACATATACAGTTGTTTACCTTTCTATGTAGGAGAAATTCAAATGGATTAATGTTGTTGCAGTTCATTATGCTGTCCACTTTCATATTCTGGCTTGAACATGTCAGGTAGGATTTGAGGTATTGTCATTGTCAATAACATAGCTTATTTGTCAAAGTTTTTTGTTTAGGCCTTGTCATAGCTTGCTGACTGGCAACCGGAGTTGTGTGCGTTCATGAACTATCCTCTCATTTTCAGGAGGAGGCTCTCCTGGTGATATTGGGTTTTATCATTCTGAAATAATTACAGACTATTTGGAGTTATGATGGATGCAAAGCTAATCTAGAGGTACCCAAGGTTAAAAATTTAATGGCTGGAAATAAGCATGCCATGGGCTCTTTAATTCATTTTTTAGGGTACTGTTTTTTTCTTCAGCATTTGTCTATGTATTTACTTTGTCATTTATACCTCTCCTCCATACTACTGCCACAGATTTCTGGACCTAAGATGAACTGAAGTCTAACTTATGTCCTATCTTTTATATTTCACAATGCTGATCACTTACAACTCAGTCCTGTGGCTGCCGTCCTTAGCCACATCACACAGCAGTGACCTCATCCTTATGTGGTGTAAACTGTCCAGGACACCACACCGCTCACACACATTCTGGCATGAAATCCTGTTTAATTTTTAAAGGAAAAACTGTTGCTTCTTTTGATTTTGCTTCACTTTCATGTGCCTGACTGCTGGCATTGCCAGAGCAACACTTGGTTGGTTTATATTTCCTGATCAACCGTTTCCTACTTCCTCCCCCAGAATCCTCACTGTAATAGCTGCCTTCCTCCACTGCTGCCTTCCTTTCTCTGTTCTAGCTTACTTTATCGATCCTTTAAGGGTGTCATTTTGCTGGAAACATAATGATTTTAAAGTCACAGTAGCAAATGTTGTTGAGTAAAGATAAACTTGATTCTTGGTATATATCATAAAGCTGGGCTACAGTTGATCAAGGTGTTTGCCCCACTTAAATTTTGTTCTACTCACTCATTTGTGAAGGCCCCAGACTATCCAGTTTAGTTTTATTTAGTCCAGACCATTCCAATTTTCCCTTAAAAAAGAGCTTCTATGCATAATTGCACCAATTTTCCATAATTCTTCAACAACCAGTCAGTGTTTCCATCATCTATAACTGCTAAAATTTAGTTTTCCAGTCTGAGTCCTGCTCCACTTGGATAAAAAAAACAAAACATCTAATACAGTGAATAACAGGAGATCATTCATAAAACTTTTCACTGATGTCTCCAGTTTTCCCTGCCTGAAATACACTTCTGCATCCAAGTAATTCATGAAAGGTGGAAAGAAGAGGAGTACCAGAGTGGGGGGACCGGTAGCGGAAATCCTCCTTGGTGAGCAGCAGCAGAGCTTTGCCATTCATCTGGAAAGAGCCGCTGGTGATCGGCCGCAGTGCGAACTCCTTCTCAGACCATCGCAGCCACTGGGCCACATCCTCCCTGCTCCAAAAGACTGGCTGCAGACCTTGAGGTGGAAGAATTTGGGGCAAGGGAGAGGAAGAGGATGGAAGAAGTTCAGACCAGGGTTTGGTGAAGAAGAAAAATGGAGGTGAAGAAAAAAGAAAGGAAGGAGAAAGAAAGGAGCAGAAGGATGGGGGTTGAGGGATGAGGAAGGAAGAAATGAAAGGCAGGAAGGAGGGGAGTGTGAAGGGTAGAGATGGGTAGGGAGGAAAGGAGGAGAAGGGGGAAGAAAGGGAGGAAGGAGGCAGAGGCAGTAAAATGGATATTGAGGAAGTGGAGATAAAAGCCAAAAGGAGTGAGTGATTACAGGGATGGCAGCAGAGTTAAAAGAAAAAGATGGAGGAGGAGGCAGAGAGAAGTCAGAAAGGGAAAGTAGGTTAGAATAAAAGATTATAAGGTGATAGGTTAAGGGGATGAACACAGAATGAATCATAAGCATTAAAGAGGAGGAGCAGGGGTGTATATGAGCAAGACAGGCTGTTATTTTATTAGATCTGTTCTGATCTTTGCTCTCTGAACTCCAGACAGGCACATCAGAGGATGGACAGTTTATTAGTGTGTGCATATAAAATGCACAAGAAACATGGAGAGAAAAGAGAGCATGAAAAACAGGAATGACAGTATATTTTTTCAACTCCCTCACATTCTGATATACAGTATTTCTCTAACTACCATGGGAACAGCAATGTAACACATCTGCACTGGTGACCAGCAAGCATGTAGAACCAAAAGTGAGAGAACACACTGTGGAGATTAATAAAATCTGACCAAAAGCTCAACTCCCTGGAATTAAGCCACAGTTGACAGCTAGTTTTTCTGTGCATGCATTACAGCAAAAAGAAACCTGGTCACAACATAAATCAAAACATAAACAGCAATTATTGTGTTAATTGTGTCAAGTTGTGATGTAAGAGGGCAACTATTTAGCTTGCCCTGAGAGCAACAGTTGTAGCTGATTTCACCCCAGTAGCAAATACTACATGCCAAGATGAACTTTATCTAATGACTGACACAAAACTGATGCTGGATTCAAGAAAATTCAGTTTGTATTGAAGTGACTTAAAATACCCTTATATTTCCAGAAAAACAGTCAATCTTTTTTTTCTTAGCAGAATTATTCACTTTTTAGCAACAGTCAACACTGGCAACAGCACATGCTAGCTAGCTGAATAGATAACAATGGCATTTACTTTTTTCTATTACTATATTATGTTTGGCATCTATTGTAACTATTTAGCTTACTATGTTAGCAACGTTATGCTTATGCCAACAGCAGCTTGAACTTAGCAGCAAAAACTACGTTTCAAGCTAAACTGAGGCCACTAAATACATATTAGCCTTGGGTGTAATGAAGTGACTGAAAACATTTACTCAACCAAACCAAACAGAATATAGGTCTGTGCCTTCTTAACGATATTAGCTAAAAAAAAAAAAACTAGCTAAATAGGTAGCTAACCTAAAAATACTACATATGCCAAAACAAATTTTAGTTTTTTCCTGAACACTAGGCTTCATTATATGAGCTACCTCTTTACCAGTCAAATTTTTTATTCATATAGTTATTGTTTTTTGGCTCTGCACACTGAGGTTTATTGCAGCCACTATGATTATTTGCAAAACGTTCTCAAACTCGTATATTCTTGATATTTCCTGACATAACAGAATGTAGACCTACAGTATATTTTTTAGAATTACACAAACATTTTTGACCCTTATTTATCCCGGTTAACACAGATATTTCTACCTCATTATATCATTTTGCACTCTTGGTGTAACCCAATGATTTACAGTATGATCAGACTCACTCCCTCTCTTTTTCAACCTCCTTCTCATTTTCACATGCACACACCAAAAGAGACTGCATAACATCCATGTCACCCATATGGTGCGTAACTACTAATTTCTTACATTTCACTTATCACTCAGCCTCATAAACTTCCTCTGGGAGTTGGACAGCTGTTATCTTTGGCTGCCAATGTCACTGTCACACAAGTAACAGGAACCTTGAGCCTGGTTTCAGGCCTCCTCCCCTTCAGCTCCCCCCAATTGTCAAACAAAGAAAGTATTCATGGAGAGCAATCAATATAAAATGAAACCCTGTTTAGATTGTCAGCTTCCCATTTCTTCCTTTCCTTTCCAGTCCAGTCCTCTATATTCAGATAGAGGCATGAGCATTGCCAATAAACCCAGGAAGGCTGAGGTTATTTGAAGCATTGCTTACAGCCTGTCAGGCTCTGACCCTCAGCTTGTTAGCAGGCATCCCTGACAAGAAAGCGTCAGAGAACGAGATACAGGTGTTTCATAACCACAGAAACTAGCGGTGGGCAGAGGAACTGGAAGGAACTGCGTATGTTTCTTCATATTTTCTCTCTGGGTTTCCACTTCATCACCAGATGCACTTCTTGACAGAAACTCAGCTGAAATCATAGCTAGGCTACATTATCTCTGACTTCTAGTATGCACAATATACTATATGTAAATGTTTTCAGTACTATTGTTGTAGTTAACTTTAAACATCAGTGGTAAGACAACGATTTGAAATATGTCCAGAAAACCAGTGATTTGCTCAAAATTTGTTTAAAATTAACTTGACTACATACCAGGAAATGCATCATGTACTGATGACCTGTACTGATTACATTCTCAGTTTGCACATGCATAATTGCATATTGACTGTTGACTACTGCACATGCTGCTCCCACGTAGCATACATTCTCTTATTATATTCTTATATATTTCTATTATATCTCTGCATTTGCTGCTTAAAGTGCCTTAGATTTTGTTACTTATCTACTTTATATTTCATTTGTATTTTGTGTCATTCATGTGGACGGCAAAGTAAGAATTTCATTGTACAGGGAAACATGTTTCCTAACTGTGCATATAACAAATAAACACTTTGACTCTGACTTTAACAGGAATAGCTCTAGGATGGAATGGAATAGTCCAAAGTAGGGATGTACCAATGCCAATACCAGTACTGGGTATCGGGTCTGATACCGCCCTCTAGCAGGGGTGCCCTTTGTCACTGGTTCTGTTTATTATTTTTATGGACAGAATTTCTAGGTGCAGCCAGGGGCCGGAGGGAGTCCGGTTTGGGGACCACAAGATCTCATCTCTGCTTTTTGCAGATGATGTTGTCCTGTTGGCTCCATCAAACCAGGACCTCCAGCGTGCACTGGGGCGGTTTGCAGCCGAGTGTGAAGCAGCTGGGATGAGAATCAGCACCTCCAAGTCTGAGGCCATGGTTCTCAGTCAGAAAAGGGTGGCTTTTTCCCTTCAGGTTGGAGGAGAGTTCCTGCCTAAAGTGGAGGAGTTCAAGTATCTTGGGGTCTTGTTCACGAGTGAGGGAAGGATGGAACAGGAGATTGACAGGCGGATCGGTGCAGCTTCTGCAGTAATGCAGTCAATGTACCGGTCCATTGTGGTGAAGAAGGAGCTGAGCTGTAAGGCAAAGCTCTCAATTTACTGATCAATCTACGTTCCGACTCTCACCTATGGTCATGGGCTTTGGGTAATGACCGAAAGGGCAAGATCCTGGATACAGGCGGCCGAAATGAGCTTCCTCCGCAGGGTGGCTGGGCGCACCCTTAGAGATAGGGTGAGGAGCTCAGTCACACAGGAGGAGCTCAGAGTAGAACCACTGCTCCTCCACATCGAGAGGAGCCAGCTGAGGTGGCTCGGGCATCTGTTTCGGATCCCTGCCGGGCACCTTCCTAGGGAGGTGTTCCAGGGCACGTCGGACCGGGGGGAGGCCCAGGGGAAGACCCAGGACACGCTGGAGGGACTATGTCTCTCGGCTGGCTTTGGGAAGGCGAGGGATTTCTCCCGGGGGGCTGGGGTAGAGAGAGGGAAGTCTGGGCATCTTTGCTTAGACTGCTGCCCCCACGACCCGGTTCCGGATAAGCAGAGGAAAATGGATGGATGGTTTACCCAGTTTTATTTTTATGCACAAAACAGTAAACAGGCCTTAGTTGATCCCTCTTATAAGCTTACATAAAGTGTCTGGTGATGCTCTGTTAAGCTAATGCTAACTTAGCTAAATCAGATGCTTTGTATTTCTTTTTATAGAAATAATACATCAATAAAATTCTGGAAATTATATTTATCATTGACTATATTGTTGTGTGAGCTGTTGTGATAGCTGTCAACTTAAACAAGTGTTTAAAACTGTTTCATAGTGCTTACATGACAATGTATTCCAGGTGTCTGAATTGAAACATTAGCTAACCTACAAAAGCAGAATATTTCATGAATTTGTTGTGTGTATAGGTTCCCAAAAGATAAAGTGAAAAGACAGAGATGGAAAGTAGCATCAAGGAGAAAGGACACCGAGCCAAGTGAGCTCAGTTGTCTGAAGCTGTTAGAAGACTGTGACAGGACTGGACAATATGTTTAAAAGGAAGGAGTGACCCTGTTTTTTTTTCTAATTTTTGTTTGTTTGCCGTTCCAGACCACCTTTGCAAAATTTGTGCCAATGGCTTACTGTTTCCAGTGATGGAGGAAGTACTCAGATTGTTTACTTAGGTAAAAGTAGCAATACCACAGTGTAAAAATATGAAAATGTTACTTATGTACAAAAGCATTAGCATCAAAATATACTTAAAGTACTAAAAGTAAAAGTAGTCATTCTGCAGAATAGCACCGACTACATTAAGGCATTTTATTGGATTATAATTACTGATGTTTTATTGTGTATATCACAATTAATGTTGTATCTGGTAAAAGTTTAGCTATTTTTAACTACCATATATACACTCATATTTTGAAGTAGGACTGCAGTGGTGTATTGGTTTTATTGTATACCATGGTAAGAAAATTGACAGCTATCATACCATGCACATTTGCTAATTACTGGTGTTGAAGAAAAAAATGCAATGTGTGTGCACCTTTCTTCCCCGACTGTCTGTGAGACTCCGCAACGGGCACCACATGCACACATGAAGCAGACAAATAGGAGAGAAGGAGGCTGAAATCACCAAACTCTGAACTAAGTTTCCACAT